GGATGCCCAGTTTCTCCTTAGCCATTGAGTCTAACAGACTCACAATGTCTTTTAATGTATAATCCTAGTAGATTAAAACACATCACAGGGATAAAACATTGTAAATATGCTCTTGAGGGGTACTCAGATATGCATCCCACAATATGCTTCTTTAGCAGATATGCTGTTGTGAGCTAAGGGCCACTGAGAACTGGCTAATGTAGGAAAAGTTCTACAAACAGAACAGGGCTTCTCGTTTGGTAAAGGAAAATTCCACTTGGAGAAATGCATTCCTGCCCTGTGCCAGGAAGAAGAGGACTCTTCACAGCTCTTACGAAGAGAAAAGGCACTTAAATCTGTGCCATAAACTTTATTAATCAAACCTTGTTTATCACATTGCTCCATGTCACTTTCCCATAACTTGTCTCCCATGTGCAGAAGCCTACAGCTCCTTTTCCTTCAGCCCAAGACGACGGGAAATGAAATTTAGAAACAAGTTTATTTTGGTGTGAAAAAAATTTTGAAATTCAAGCATAGTTTTTTTCCATAATATACATTTTTCATGAGCTTTTTGAAGAGTCTCTTATGCATTAATGTCAAAACCTTTTGACCTTTTTATTTATTTATTTGAGAGAAAGAGAGAGAGGTCATCCATCCTCTGGTTGGTTATTTCTGTAATGCATGCAACAACTGGGGGCTAGAACTCAATCCAATACTACCATATGGGTGGCAGAAACCTAATTAATTATTTTTTAAGATTTATTTTTAGTTACTTGAAAGAGTTAGAGACAGACAGAGAGAGATATCTTCCATTTGTGGGTTCACTCCCTAAATGGCTGCAAAGGCTGGGGCAGGCTGAAGCCAGGAGCCAGGAACGCCATCCAGGTCTCCCATGTGGGTAGCAGGGGTCCAAGCACCTGGGTCATCTTCTGCTGTTTTCCCAGCACATTATCAGGGAGCTGGAGTGGAAGTGAGGCAGCCAGAACTTGAACCAGCACTCATATGGGTTGCCAGCATTGCAGGAGGCTTAACCCACAGTATCACACTGCTAGCCCCTATCTAATTACTTGATCCATTACCATTGTTTCTCAGAGCCCACTTCAGCAGGAAGCTGGATTTAGAGCAGTTCATCAAACCCAGATACTTTGATTTGTGTCTTAATTGTTAGACCAAATCCCCATTCTAGATTTCAATTTATTTCACATCAAAATTTACATAGATTTTTTTTTTTGACAGGCAGAGTGGACAGTGAGAGAGAGAGAGACAGAGAGAAAGGTCTTCCTTTTTGCCGTTGGTTCACCCTCCAATGGCCGCCACGGCTGGCGCGCTGCAGCCAGCTCACTGTGCTGATCCGATGGCAGGAGCCAGGTACTTATCCTGGTCTCCCATGGGGTGCAGCGCCTATGTACTTGGGCCATCCTCCACTGCACTCCCTGGCCACAGCAGAGAGCTGGCCTGGAAGAGGGGCAACCGGGACAGAATCCGGCGCCCAGACCGGGACTAGAACCCGGTGGGCCGGCGCTGCAAGGTGGAGGATTAGCCTAGTGAGCCGCGGCACCGGCTTTACATAGATTTTTAATGAACTTTTTGAGGTACCCTTGTATATGTCTATGTTCTTAATATCTCTTTCCATTACTCACTTCTTGGTTCTAGGTGTGTTGGTAGTATGGTACACTCTGCAGGTGTCGTGGCCTATCAGGTAAAGCCACCACTTGTGATGCCAGCATCCCGATATGGGAGCTGGTGCGTGTCCTGGCTGCTCCACTTCTGATCCAGATCCCTGCTAATGGCCTGAAAAAGCAGCAGGAGATGGCCCAAGTATTTAGGCACCTGCACCCACCTGGGCTACCCAGATAAAGCTCTTGGCTACACCCTGGCTCAGTCCTGGCTTTTGCAGCCATCTGTGGAGTGGATAGTGGATGAAAGATCTCGATCTCTCTCTCGCTCCCTCTCGCTCTAGCTCTGACTTTCAAATAAATAAATGAACATTAAAAAAAAAGGATGGTGTACAAGTTAATAAACTTCATTTGTTTTTCTCTTGTAAATCTGTCTTTTGCCACAGAACCCCAGTGAGAACCTAGACGACTAGGAAGAAAAACCAATTTTTTTTTTCTTATTCTCTCCTTTGCAAAAATGGGGTGAATACCAAAAGACACTATTGCCACACCCTCTCTTGAATCCCAGGAGAACATCCAACCTTGCTGCTCTGGGCCAGCATACAAAATGTTGGAGGGAGGTATGCCAGAGAAGAATGAAGGAAAATAAAAGAAACTAAAATCATCTGTAATCAAAGTCTTTCCACTATTGCAACTGTTGCAACTAGTAATTAGTTTCTTATAATTCCAATCCTGATCACTCACTTAAATAATGGGCAGGGAGAACATACGTGAAGAGTCTATCTTAACATTGGCAAAAAACAGTAAGCAATGGGAAAGAATCTGAACATCTACTAAGAGGGGGTTGAATGAGAAAACTGCAAAATGGACACTTTGGATTTTTATGCAATGGCAATAAGTGTGTTTATGGAAATCATAAAACAGAAAATGCTATTGACCACATGCTGGATGGAAAAAGAAGGGTATAACTTTGTGTCCTAGCCCTATAGGATGCATGGGGACTGATACTCTCTGTTTGACCTAACATTGTTTATGCATTTATAAAACTTACTTATTTATTTGAGAGGTACACATATAGATTGCTGTGTTGGGTGAGAGAGAAAGAGGGAGAGAGATCTCTTTCGTTTGCCAGTTCACTCTTAACTGTCTGCAACAGCTGGGACAGGGCAAGGTAGGGGCCAAGAGCTCAGTACTCCATCCAAGTCTCCCATGCTGATGGCAGTGACCCACATACTTGGTTTGTTCTCTGTTGCCTCTCCAGAGGTGCATCAGCGAGAAGCTGGACTGGAAGCAGTGCAGGCTGGACTTGAACTGGCACTCCAGTATGGAAAGCAGGCATCCACACAGGATCTTAAACTGCTGTACCACAACACTCACCCTGACCTAACTTTAGATAGGTTACCCATTTTCATGGACCTTTGACCTGAAACAAAACAAAACTATAGATCCTCGGCACAAGTGATTTCATTCACCTGCTTCCCCATACCTTAACTAAAAGATTGAACAAACGCTAATATTGCTCTGAATAGTTCAGGGCTGCATCCATAGCACGGCCTCACCCTTCCTTTAGGAGCACCTGCCTAAAAACAAAAGTACAAGACTATGAAAAGGACTGAAAGTTTACTCCAGCCAGCACCTTAATATAGGCTCTAAAAATGGCCTGGAATTATGAATATGTGTTTCCTACCCCTCAGGGTGTCTTTCTCTAGGACCTGAGACCCCTTCATTTGAAGTGTAGTCATATCTTCCAAGTTCTCTACAGGAGGACAGGCTCCTAACTTCTGTAACTGCCAGCTAATAGACACTTGCCAGTCTAAAGGCATCTACTCTGACCATTTCCATAATTTTCACTTCTCTGACTCTGCTCAAGCCCCCTCACTACAGTTTTCCTCCCAACCCCTCATTCTTCCTTTAAAATGCTCAGTAACCCACCTCTGCACACATGGAAGCTCAGTTCAGCTCACAATGGACCCCCTTCTCAACTGCAATAATGCATCCCTGATTAAAATCTGTCTTTATCACTTTCACTGGAGTCCAGCTTTGTTTATCTTGGACAGGAGCAGTTGCTAAGGAATTCAAGTCCTCCATCATGGTGTTTGTAGCATAGTGGGATTATACTCATTAGAAATCATTAGCAAAAGCATTTTCTCTGTCTCTGAAAAGAACAATCTCTGCACATTTCAATGAATAAAAGTTTAACACAACTTTGCTGGGAAGCAATTCTGATTTATGAATTCCACATTAAACCATCTAAGTACATCTGTTATGTGCAGCATAATGCCGACTTTTTGGGTAATGATTTCTCAGAATCACAAATGATGTATAAATTCCCGGCAATTGAAGCATTTGGAAGGGTGTGAATGTGTCTTGGGTGATTGCCTATTATATCCAAATACTATGTTTGTAGTGTGGTCTGTGTGCCTTCATTTTGTGCCTCGGAATCTGGAAGCATTATCTTATGTGGGGGCAAGAGGAATATTTCTGCCTGTATTAGCCAAGGTCCTTTGTCTTTAATTCAGTGTTCTGCAATATATCTCAGGAATGATTGAAACTACCTTACATAACAATACAAAACTGCATATGTGAAATACATGAAATATGTTCCCTTTATATAAATAAAGAAAAAAAAACTACCTTACAAAGAATACAGGAAGGAAAGAATTTCCATTTAACTCCAAGTTCTGGTGTCCGTATAAAGCCCAGAGTAAAATTGCTGAATCTGAGACCTTGTCTGTCACTGCCCGGGTCTCAGCCTTGACTCTTCTCACACTGGAGCTTGACTCTTCTTGACTCTTCTCACACTGGAGTTGTCTGAACCTAATACCATGCACTCTTGGGATTCCATGGGTTTATTCTGTCCGTGTTCTTGCCTTTCTCTCTTAGCCACTTGGCTTTCCGATGAACTTTTCAGGCCCTTTACAACCCGGTCCACGTCACAGCCTGCTGAGAGGCAGCCTGCAGCTCCGCACCCACCCCAGCTCTCTCCCCTCCATTTTCAGCCTGCTCTTCTCCATCCCCCACTGCATCTTCAACCAGCTGGGTGCACCCTTCTTTGGGTTCTTGTGGCATCTGCATTTCTTAATTATACTTAACTTGCCATAGGGCAGGGACTAGCATATCTCGGGCACTAAGCACTATTTCTAAGGTTAATATTCAATAAGCATTTCTGGGATTAACAGCTGAAGTTCTCATTACTACCAGAGATTAATTTATATTAAAGATTGTAAACAAGAGCTGAGATTTAACCTTTCTCTCGTTCATCCAATACTTACATACACACACACACACACACAGATAAGTAGGATGAGTCAAGCAAACATCTATACAGTACCTACAAATATACAGATCTGATCCTGGATGCCCTGGCTTCAGAGTGCCGAGGAGAGGACTGGACAGGAGACTTACGTTTTGCAGCTGCACGTGGTTCTTCATCAAGCTCTCTGACTTTGACATCGTGCTGGATGCTTTGAGACTGTAATTTTTACCATTTTGTGGCTCTTTCAGCTGCTCTTGGATTTGTTTAGCTTGTTTCCTACAGGCATAAAGGAATACATGTGTAAATATTTGCCTAAATTGATCCTATTCCTTGAAGTTCATTCATTCCCAACATCTATACTTGCCATTGTTAAAGTTAGATAAACTCAGTTAACAAACACGCATTCTCTCATTTTCAACCCTAACAAGAACACACCCAATTTAGAGAGACTCGGGCGTTATCCATTATCATCCAAGAATTCACACTCAATGATACTTCAAAGGTAGGGGAACCATAGAGCACTGTCCTGGTCATCATGGATACAAGACAGTCCTAACCCTAAGTGCTCAGTTGTAAAGAATTGGAGATGCTATGGAGGATTGACCAGAGGTAAACTCTGAAACTTGGGCCTAGCAACCCCAGATAACATATTTGCATATTTACACTTAATTTGTACAATCCAAACATGTATATCTTATTTTCAAGGCTTGCTGAACTACAACATGTGAATATTTGGTCTGTTACTATTTAGAAACTGGTCATCTACTGTTACCAACAGCCCAAGTAATTTTTAAAGATAGTTAATGTTTAAAGAGCTAGTAATAATATAATAATGAACCACATATCATTTCATGGGCTTTACATGTTTCAACTGATTTATTCTTCATAGTCATTCTATGTGATAAAGCAAGACTTCACCCATTTGATAGATAAGAAAACTAAGGCACAGAAAAGGTAAATCATTGCCCATGGGCATACAGCCAGGCAGAGATAGAGACCGGCTTGCAACCCAACCAATCAGGATGCAAACTCTACATTCTCAACCCACTCAGTGCTGACATGCCACTGGCACAGATTCCCACAGCTTCTAAATGGGAAGGCTGAGGTTGCTCTAGATTGTTGGACCCCACGTAAATAGCTCCTGCCCGTACACACGCAGTGACTGCTGCTGAGTTCATTAGGAGCCTACACCAAAAGGCTGAACAATTCATTGCTTTAGTAGCTGCTTGCAGGAGCTTGGCAGCCAGCCTCTACCAGCACAAGACGTGGCACCCATAAAAATCTTTGTGGAATCATCTGCCCTGAAGCTTGCTCCCCTCCACGTTCCCCATCAATGGTGTGTGTCTCTTACATTGGGCTTCCCCAGGCAGGCTGCACTATCAGAGCATGGACTCTGCCATCACAGGACAAAGATGACAATCCCAGCTCTGCCTTCACCAGTTTCACTGCCCTAATGATTTCATAGACTCCTCTCAGCTTCGGTTTCCTTATCTGTGTAAGAGCTCTTGCTCACAGATGCTGTGGCGCCAGGCAGAGCACATGCAAAGCTTTCATTTCTGTTCCTCTGCATTGTGTGCTCAGTCTTGCAGCTAAGTGCTGCAGAGGAAGGAAAACTGACCCAGGGGAGACTACTGACCCACGCATCTCTCACCAGCAAGCCGTCAGTGTTTCCTGCACACTACGGTGGCTCTGAATCTCCAATGCCAGAATGATGTCTCTCTGTTCGCTTAAATATTTATTTCATCTTTTCAGTTATGTGGGGGACTTTTTATCTCCAGCACGCTTAGTTGCTTTAATCCAGCTGTAATAATCTATCTAGACTCTAAGAGCTAATCCGTAGTCTATTGTTAAAAATAAGTCTATCAGATGAGCATTTTAAGAAAGCACATTGCAGCCGCAAAATCCGATCAGGGCTTCATTCAAAAAGTAAACAGGGAAATGAGGAGGCACTAGCCCAGTAAATCATCATGAATCAGTAAAGAGGGCCTGGAACAGAGAGAGGACTCAATTACTCTCCTATGAATTAAGATAGTAGAAACACTATCTTTTCAGTAGTCCTCAAATTTGCAGTTTGGGAAATATAAAATTTTAAAGGAATTTTCCTAATAAAAACACCTGACTGCATTTCCTAAATCCTCTTTCAATTTGCCTTCCTGTGCTTTCTTCTCCCTCAAGGCTTCACTCCATACTAGTCCAAGCTAAGTGGTCTTTCCCTCCTGGGCCTGCGTCTTCCTCTCCATAATCCTCCCCTCTCATGAGAACACACTTGTTGTCCATTTCCTGTTTCCCTGAGCAAATGGGAATGGAGGAAAGGGCCAGACTGTGGCTGCAACACAGTTCCAGTGAGAGCATTTGTTTTGGGGAAGACAAGATACATGTGCTGTGGCTAGAACCCTTCTGGCTCACAGTTTCAGAACTAGAACTTTACAGCTCATCAAGATGTACATCTCTCTGGCATTTGAAAAAAATAAGGGAGGTGTGGCGCAAGCCTCTTACGAGGTGGTATTTGTAGTGCTGCAGCGTGGGTTGTGGAGGAAGCCGACCTTGAGATGGAGGGAGCACCCCGGCCTTGTATTACAGGGCTCCTGAGTGCAACACCAATGCAAAGGAAGGGAAAGCAGTGAAGCAGGAGTGAAGGGAGGAGAGGCTGGGCTGTGAGGAGGCCTCAGCAAATCCACCCGGGGCTCTGAGGCTGGTGTGGTCTTACCCCCTCAGGCTCCACCAAAGGTCTAGGTCTTCAGAGCCTGGCCCTGACCTATTATTGGAGCTGGAGAATCTCAGAACAGGGCATGAGATGGAGAAAGGTGACTCTTTTCACAGCTGTCTGCGGGCAATGCTGGGACGAAGATCTCCGTTGCCCAAGAGGCTCTCAGCAGTATGTCAGAACCTCCATTATCTGCCACCTGCATGCTTCCCTGTGGTCTACAAAGCTCTGCAGAGGGTGGCAGCCTGCAGTCGGGCTAGGTTGGACCACAGCTTCATCTCACTGCTAGCACCATGTCTCTTCTCCCTCTCTCTTCTCTGATGTGATAATGACCCACCCTACATTCCACCTCCTACAACATCTCCTTTCCAATTCTAGTGTTAGGGTTGATCATGTCTTGTATTTCCAAAAATTCCTGTAGCCAGCCCAACTCTTCTAACCTTTATCAGTTGAAAGTAAAGAGAAAACCTAGAAAGAATTTATAGTTTCCATGTGAATTATATCAGCCAGACTCCATAAGCTCAATTGATACTTCTGGCTGCATTTATAGGAGCGTACTTTATTGGAGATGATAAGAAGAGGGTTTCTTTCACTGTGCCTTTTAGAGTTGTTAGGTTCAATGAACTGTCAACAAATCCTTTAATTTCAAGAAAGTGTTTCTCATGTCTGCCTTATCATGCTGCCTACCTTCAAATTTTCACCAAACACACTATTTACTGTAATATTCCTTCTGGTGAGGTCATAACATGCCGGGGGTGGGAGGGCAAAGAATGGAGAAAGGATAAAAGTGGTAGGATCTCCAAGATTACAGAATGCAGCACAGAAGTGACTAAGATAATGACAGCTTTGCAGAGACTCTGGGCAGATCAGTACATGCCAGCATCCTGAACAGGGGTTCAACTAAAGCTGCTTGGATGTCAGTGAAAGAGACAGCTGAGAACACTGGATGACTAGGGGCTTGCAAATAGAAATACACACACACACACACAATGTGTGCAAAGTTTGGGGGTGGGAAATAGAAATCCAGGAATTCACAAGAGAAACTTGTACCAGGGTGTTATAAAACTTTATATTGCTCTCAGCAATGTAGATATTGGGTGGTTGCTGAGAGATGCGGCAATCCTCTCAGGCAAAAATAGACACGTAAATAGGTAGGTTGATATTGATAAATAAAAGTGCCTGGAAAGTGAATTAAAAGGAAAACACATACTCTTAGTTCTCTGATAAGAAATATGACTCCACATGGAAAATATTTTAAATTTTGTTATAATTTTTATTATTTCTACATTTTACAATTTTCAATAAACGTGTCCTGGATGGACAGGCAGCACACCCTGTCTGTGAATGCTTCTCCATCAGCTAGGTTCTCCATTGGTCTCCCATCCATTGTTTGTTTCCATTAAGCACCCTGACACCTCACTGAGGCTCCAGAGATGTTGGTCCCAGGGCCCCTTCGCTGTCCAGAGGGGAGAGATTGCCAACCCTGAAGACGGAAGTCTCTAGTTACTCAGCTGTTCTCTCTTCTTGCAATTCCTATAATTTGTCTTTCATTTAAATGTGGTATAACTACAAATTACACTCTAAAAATAAGTGATTAACTGCTTCTTCATGGCAATTTGCTTATTGTCAAATACCCGATTTCTTTCTCACACACTGCTGTTTAGGGAGATCTTTCTCATCTCCATCTGGGTGCAACCCCTCTTTGCACCAGTGCACACCCTTCCCCTTGTGGATACCCAGTCTCCAAGCCCCTGAGTAGAAAACGGTGGATGTTCACCACAGCGAGCCTTCCTGGAGAATTCACATTTTTAAAATGTGCTGTGTTCTTAACAACATTATCTCATTTAATCCTTCAAAGAATTCTATAGATAGATATTATTTCTGTTTCTAGCCTGCCAACAAAAAAAAAAAAAGAAAAGAAAAGAAAAGAGAGGTGATGCTTAACGACATATTAGAAGCAAGTGACAGCTTGAGGATTTGAATCCAAGTGTGGCTGACTGGTGTAAGATCAGTACCACTGCCACACAAACACAGGGCAATTCCTCACTCTGAGCCGGTTCACCACCCAGCAGGAAGACTCTGCAGAGCATGCAATTCAACTGGAACTGCTGGGATTCCAAGATCTGATCTGCAATTGCCTTACTGTGTGGCTTTGACAAATTAATACTCTAAAATAAATTCCGACATTATCAGTAACAACACACAACCCTGAGTGTTGTGGGGATTGGGAGCTAGTGCATGATATGCCAAGCGTGCCTGGCAAAGAATAAGTGTTCAAATGTTGGATAGTTACAACTTTGACAGCCAAGATTTGCCTGGGAGATGTGACAGCTAATGTCATGTGGTATCCTGGATGGGGGTTCTGGAATAAAAACAGAATTAGATAACATCTAAATCAATCTGAAAGTGTGAACTTTAGTTACTAACACTGCATCAGTATTGTTCCACTAAGTGTGACAAGGGCATCATACAAACGGAAGGCACTAGTAACAGGGGAAACTGAGTTTGGGGTACATGGGAACTCTGTACTATTTTTGAAGTAATTTTGAAAATATAAAACTATTCTGAAAAAGCTTATAGAAAAGTAATAGTCACTAACTCTGGATGCATGCCTGAGTTTATTTTTTAAGTGGTAATCACAGCTCTCTTTAAAAATCTTCTACCACATGCAGACAGGTATCATAAACTATATCTGGAAATTAATCCATTTTTAGAAGAGCAAATGAGTAAACATATATAGATCTCATGAAAAGCGATTACATATTTTCCTGGGTTTCAGATAAGCTGCAGGAGCAAAATCTGTGCCAACTTCTTGAGGCTTAAGAAACCAAGAAGGTAATGTTCCTTTATTTGCATTTCTTATTTTAAGTGAGCATTACATCATTTTCATAAATAAAATACATCTGTCAGGGTTCACTTGAAAAACAAAAACAACAACATACACGCATAAGAGTATATAGGGTACTTCAAAAACTTTGTGGAAAATGGGACTAAAAGTTTATTTTGGTATAAAAAATTCTGAAATCATGTGTAGTTTTTTTCATACTATACCTTTTCCATCAACTTTCTCATGACCCCTCACAAGTGAATATAAGTTTTTAATTTTATTTTATTAATCAAAAGTAAGTACCTTAATATGCAAAAGGTCTAGTTTTTTGACAAACGAACTTTAGGACATATTTGAGATGTGCATAGCAAGTGGTGAACCAATTTATACTTTTTAGGCATCTTTCTCACATTTGACTAAAACCTTTATGAGCAGTAGTTAAAAATGTATGAAAAGAAAACTTTTTTTTCAGAAAAGGCTATCTCTGGTTGACAGCATTTAACTTCACAGCAATGGTTCCACTGTTCAGAAGATCTAGTGCCTTAGTGAGAGGCACACATTGAGTCTTTATTATTGGCAAGTAATTAAGCAGTACGAAGAACATGGAGTTCTGACACTGAGAGGAGGGGTTACTATGTGTATCAAAGATAAACCACACACACATACACCCACATGCACACACACAAAAACATGCATAGATAAGCATGCAATGCACATGTCTGAAAACACTCACCATGGTCTACAAAATATTCTGTCATTTTCACATGGCTGATGGACCCCTATGGATAGGATCCCTCTGCTCGGAGCAGAGACAGAAAATATAACGACAAAGTGCTTTCTCTAAGAAGTAACCTTTTAACACTTGAGAAAAGTGGTCTTACTTGCTTTTGAAGTAGAATGCTGCACAGAACATGCCCACGATGACAATTCCAAAGATGATACATGAAATTGACAGCACCTGCCTTTGATAAACTTCTTCACTCTCTGTGAATTTGAAAAACAGAATTAGAATGGATCCTAGCGGTGTATAACAGCAACAGTCTCATCCTGGCACTTCAGCTGGTAGGAGACTTTCAAAGCCAACAGTATTTTTTTCCTGTCATGAATAGGAAAGAACATGAGGAGGTTATTATTATTCAATTTATTTGAAGAAGATAGGATAACTGGTTGTTATTTTTATATCTGCATGGTTAAATCAAAACTCACACCCAGATGTAACAATTATGAATTTTACTGTCTTAAGACATTTCACTGCTCTAGGACATACTGGACATACAAGATTTGAAATTGTGGTGGGGCCCAACTCAAAGAGCTGGAGAAACAAAAGCAAGCCCCGCAGGGTGATGGCTTACAATTCGCTTTCTGTGATGTCGATTCCCCTACGTTTGCAGATTCTGGTTTGGTCTTCCTACACTGTGACTGATCTCATTCACAGAAAATACTATCAACATGCATGTGAATACATTATTCAGCCACTCTGTGACTGCCTCAATGCCAATGACCCAGCACACAGTCCTCAGTCTCTGCTGTCAAGGTTGCATCTTGTAGACGCTCATCACAAAAGCAACTTTAATACGACACGAAACATTTCAATTCTCAGCCACTACCATTTGCAGTCCCTGCTCCTTTTCTAAATGTTATCTCCTGAATCAGTTCTTCCATCTCATCAAAAGCTGTCTTCATGCACCACAGGACTTTCTCTTTATTAATTACCTTCATTTTGACTTCATCTCACACCTTATACAGTACAAAGACCATGATCTATGATTAGAGTCACTCACATTCTTCCAAATACCCTCAACTACTTTACCTTTTATCTATTTGAATAAATAACCACTTAAGAATTCTAGGAACTGCCTCCTCCACATTTCTACCTTGAACAGCTGAGAACTGGGAAAGAAGGTTTCCCAATTTGGCAGATGGACCTCAATAAAGGTAGACGACCATAGTCATTGCCAGTGTCATCAATAGTCATTACCATCTTCTCAGCCCGTCTCCCCATTTTCCTGATGTTCATCCTTAGCACCACCAGAGGAGTCAAACAGCTGACAGTCCAACCTTCTCTTCATGTTCAGATTTTCCATACACTTTATACGGAAAAAGAAGCCAGTATAGAGGAACTACTCTATTGCTAAAATCAAAGATACAAAATGAACTGTATCTGTATCCATTCCTTCTCCCCCACCTCCCATTGAGCACTAGGTTTGAAACTTCAGTATGCATTGCAGTCAGTTTGAGGGCTGTTGAAGGACAGATGACACCTACTTTCTCCTTGAAAGTCACTGATTTAGAAGTCTGCAATGAATATAAAGCATCTGCACATTCAGAAAGTTCCCAGGGGATTCTGATGCTGCTGATTTGGAAAACATTCTGGGAGACTATTGAGTAGATTAAGAAATCTCGGAACATTGATCATCTATATAAGAATCACCTACGGACATTGGGTTTTCTTGTTAATGGCAATTACAGTATCCATCTTGGGCTGCCTGAATCTATATCTTTATTTAAATAAAATTTGCAAGTATTTCTCATGCACATTGAGTTAGAAAATCAGTCAATTAGACAAAGTGCAAGTGCCGTATTTTTATCAAAGACCAATAATCCATTTAGTTTTCATTGTCTCCTATCATCTCAGGATCCTCTTATCACTGAAAATTGAAGAGAAAAGAATGCATTGAAATTCATTGCATGATGCCTATGTTGTCTTGATACCAAAACCAGACAAAATTATTTATAAACTGTGTAGTGTGTCATGACTAACTGGAGTTTGCACAAGGAATGTAGTTGGTTTAATGTTTAAAAAATAATCAATGATCTGGCTGAAAAGCCCATGAGAGTATTTCAGGCATGGAAAGCCAAGACACTCTGGCAAAAAGATCTCTGTGAGTGAGATCCCAGTGGAAAGAACAGGTCTTCAAAGGGGGAGGTGCCTTTCTCTGAAGGGAGGAGAGAACCTCCACTTTGACTATGACCGTGTCTAAACAAGATAAGAGTCGGAGAACTCAAGGGGCTTCCATAGCCTTGGAAACTCATAACTGGTGCATAGGGAGATTACTGATGCCATAAACAGGAGTGTCAATTGGTAAAGTCAACAACAGGAGTCACTGTGCACTTACTCCTCATGTAGGATCTCGGTCCTTAACGTGCTGTACACTGAGGCTTAATGCTATAACGAGTACTCAAACAGTATATTTCACTTTGTGTTTCTATGGGGGTGCAAACGACTGAAATCTTTACTTAATGTACACTAAACTGATCTTCTGTAAAAAAAAAAAAAAAAAAAGAAAGAAATTTTCAATTCCCAACTTGACTCTCACTGGGATTAAACATGACAATAGGTCTGATCTGATTTCATCATCATTTTAAAAAAAATCATCTATTATTTTTCACTTTATGTTTCTGTGTGGGAGCAAACTGTTGAAATACTTACTTAAGGTATACTAAGCTGATCTTCTGTATATTAAGATAATCGAAAATGAATCTTGATGTGAATGGAAGGGGAGAGGGAGTGGGAAAGGGGAGGGTTGTTGGTGGGAGGGACGGTATGGGGGGGGAAGCCATTGTAACCCATGAGTCGTACTTTGGAAATTTATATTCATTAAATAAAAGATAAAAAAAAAAAAAAAAAAGAAAAAAAAAAAGGGAAAAAAAAAATAATCAATGAGTTTCACCATATTAACAGCCCAAGAAAAGAATAACCCAATTAATTAGTAGAGTAGGGGTTAAAAAAAGCATTTAACAAAAACTAACGCCCATTCCTGACTAAAACTCTAAAACACAACGCATAGATGAGCTTCCTGCTCCTTATAAAGAGTAGCTATTGAAAGGGGTTGGTGTGGTGGTGCAGCAGTCATTGTGGGGGGCTCACATTTCATATCTGAATGGTTGGACTGAGTTCCAGCAACTCTGCTTCTCGTTCAGATTCTTGCTCTTGTGCATCCTGACCAGTGGCACGAGTACGTGGCTCCCTGAAACTCACGTGGGAGATCTGGATGGAGTTCAAGGTTTCTGCCTTCGGCCTGGACCAGCCCTGGTGAGCGCACTTGAAAGGTGAACAAGTGAACAAAAGAATGATCTCCCTTTCTCTCCCCTTTCAAATAATTAAAAAAAAAATTCTACCTAATAGTAAATGGCTGATTTTTTTCAGGAATAAAGCAAGAATATCCACTCTGACAATCTCTATTTCACAATGTGTTGGAGGTTTAGTCATCAAAGTCAGAAAAAAAAAAGGGGGGGATTAAAAATCATTCAGTTTGGGAAAAGAAGAGAAAAATTGTTTCAGTTTTTAAAGGCATGATCATTTGTGCAGGAAAGCTGACAGACTCTACAAAAAAAGCTAATACAACTTTTATGTAAATTTAACTAGTTTCAAGAAAAAAAGTTGCAGACCAGAGGATACAAAATTGAACATATGTGTATTTTATAGTAATAAATAACTAGAAAGTGAAACAAAAATATCACTCCCAATAGCACTAAAACATAAAATTCAATGAAATAAATTTGACAAAGGATATACAAATCCTTTATGCTGAAAATTTTGAGATATAACTGAGAGAATTTAATAATAAAATAATAAAATAAAGAGAGAGATGTATCATACTTATGGATTAGAAGACTCAATATTATTAGGCTGTCTACTCTCCTGAAGATGATAGATAAATGTAGTTGCAAACCTATTAAAATCTCAGGACATATTATATTTTTGTTTTTGTCATAGAAATTGACAAGCTGATTCCAAATGTTATTTATATGGAAATACAAAAGATATAGAGTAGCCAAAGCTAATTTTCTTTAGCAAAGAAAATAAATTTGTAGGATTCATACTATTTTATTCCTAGACTTATCATAAAGCTATAGTAATCAAAGAAATTTGGTACTGGTCTAATTATTGACAAGTAAATTATTAAAACAGGCAACAGAATCCAGGAATGTATCCAAACATATAGGGCTAATTGGTGTTTGACAAAGATGCTAGTGCATTCAGTGCTGAAAGGAGCATTGCAACAATGAGATTGCAACAATAGTGCAGCCATGTTCAGGAAGATGAACCTTAACCGGAACCTCATAATCTCTGCAAATAGAAACTCAGGAGTGGGCATTTGGCTGAGCAGTTAAAATATCTACATCTCTTACCAGGGTGCCTGGGTTCACTATCTGCCTCAGGTTCCTGATTTCAGTTTACTGCTAATGCAGATCCTGGGAGGCAGTGGATGTGGCTCAATAATTGAATTCCTGCCAGCTAGGAGCCTTGGACTGAAGGCCCCCTTACTGGTTTTATCCAGGTCCTGTCTGGACCTTTTTAGGCATCTGAGAACTTAATCAATGGATGGAAGCTCTTTCTCTTTCACATAAATACAAATTACCTCTCTCTTTCTCCACACACATATATTTATAAATCTCACTCTATATCTATCCCTAAGTAATCAAAAGAGGTAATAGACTTTAATGTGAACATTCAAACTATAATTAGCAGAAAAACCTTAATATCACAGTTTCACAAAGTTTTTTTTATGATGCTATCTGTTAACCATTTTTTTTAGTTTGTTACTTTTACTTTTAAAGATTTCTTTCTTTCTTTGAAATGCAGAGCAATGTTTGGTGGTAGAGTGAGAGAGAGAGAAGGAGAGGGAGAGAGAGAGAGAATGAGAGAGAGAGAGAAGAAGGAGATCACCCATCCATTGTCCCACACCCTAAATGGCTGCAACAGCCAGGGCTGGACCAGACTGAAGACAGGAGCCAGGAGCTCTCTTTGGGTCTCCCACATGGCCACCAGAGTCCCAAGAGCATGAGCCATCCTCTGTTGCAGTCTTTTTTCCTTTTTTTCTTTTTTCTTTCTTTCTTTCTTTTTTTTTTTTTTTTTTTTTTTTTTTTTTTTTTTTGACAGGCAGAGTGGACAGAGAGAGAGAGACAGAGAGAAAGGTCTTCCTTTGCCGTTGGTTCACCCCTCCAATGGCCGCCACGGCTGGCGCGCTGCAGCCAGCACA